AGGGCCATCGCCCAGGATGGATTGGTGTAGCTGTTGGAAGGGCCATCGCCCAGGATGGATTGGTGTAGCTGTAGGAAGGGCCATCACCCAGGATGGATTGGTATAGCTGTTGAAATTGTCCTCTTATTTTTGCAGATGTAGTCATCCCCGAAAGCCCCGAGGCCTACCTAAAACTGACAGAAAGTGCTTTGAGATCCACTGGTAGGCATTCAACGATCCAAGCATGTTCTGGCTCCCAGCATCAAACCCTCCCCTTGGTTATCCACCTTAACTCTGTCCTTGTATTACCCTGTTTCTGACCTGCGTTTTTTTTTGTGAAATGCAAATCCAGCCCCCGAACTGATTAACCTCTCGCTAACATTGTTGAACCCGTTTAATGGTCAGTGCATGCTCACCCACTTGGACCTCTTCTGACAGGTGGGTATCGGGGTTAGTTAGCGTGCATGTACCTCACTCACCATCTAGTCTTGCAGTGCCATGACCACTGGGCCCATCTTTTGTTCCACTGAGCCCTGGGTCTCGATTCTCTCGGCTGGATTTGCACGTGATTGTGGTTAGTTAGTAGCAGCTCTCTCTCTCTGTCGATTGACTCTAGCTGTCTTCCACCTCCAACAGGAGAGCCCGGCCACTTGGAGAAGCAAATCCGCCAGCTGGACAAAGCCCTAGACAGCAGCCGCTACCATCTGCAGCAGACGGAAAACGCCATCCGCAGCAAGACTCCCACAGGCCCCGAGTTGGACTCCAGCTACTGGGGCTATGTGAGTACTCTGCCTGTTGGGGGCAGTGTTGGGTAAAGGGTGGATAAAGGCAAAACACCGCAGACGCTGGAAATCTGAAACAAAAGCAGAAATTGCTGGAGCAACTCAGCAGGTCTGCTAGCATCTGTGGAGAGAAAGCAAGGTTAATGGTTCGAGTCCAATCTGATTCTAACGGCTGGAATCTTGTTTACTGGGACCTTGTTTACTGGGACCTTGGGTTAAAGGATCACTTGACTGAGAGCACAGGGACTGTGGACCGGCAAAATAATATCCTAAATTAAATAATAATTTACAGATGTTTATTATTCATTTGTGGTTCAGTAAGAATTTGAAATAGGCATAAATATTTAGTAAGAATTGTAGAGTTCCCCATCATAGGGACGGGAGGAGGCCATTCAGTCCCCAAAAGCTGGTTCACCATTCAGTTTGGTCATGTTTGATGTGCATTGACTCGATTTAGTCACCATGGTTCTGTAATCCTTAATAGTCTGGACAGTCAAGTATCCATTTGTCTCATTTTGCAATTTTCACTTGTCCTGTAGCCATTTTGATGTGAGCTTGCGACTTTCACTACTGTGTGACTGTGTCTATGAGACTTTCACTGCTGTGTGACTGTGTCTATGAGATCTTCACTACTGTGTGACTGTGTCT